GAGTTTATGTGAAGGAAGGCTTAGCAAAGGGGAGGGTAGATAAGACTGATTGCTCACAGAAAGCTAACTTTGCAAGCTGGACTTGATACAATTAGGGCTATCTTGAACATTTGGCAAAAAGATTTTAAAATTGCTATCGGAAGACATCTGCTGGACTAGAAATGGAGAGTCCTAAGCTTCAGAAATTTGGCAAATGGCTTCTGGTTGGGTTTTTTTTTTTTTTTGGTTTTAATCACCATCAAGCTCCAGTTTAGTTGTCTCTGCATTGAAGATGACCAGTTGATGGTATGTTTTGGATTAGTCAAAGTAAAAACTGATTATTTTGTGTTTTACACTAACAAAACCAATAGAGAAATTCTACTTTGCCTTTTTAACCCATATGTCTGCTTGGATCTCCTTGAGCCTTAATTAAATTATGATTGATTACACCCCTAATTCAAGATCCTCTCCAATATTATTGAGAATTCCCAATGCCTAATTTTTCATGGCACCTCTGCTCTTGCTTTTTCTCTAGCTCAGGTATGCATTAAGATTATTTTATAAAAACACATTTTGTCTGACATGTTTAGGTGTTCTGTGTCAGAAGGCATTTTTCTGATCCTCTGTTCCAGAAGTTGGTAAACTTCATCTGTAAAGGGCCAAATAGCATGGCTTCTGTTGCAATTACTCAACTAATAAACTTATTGCTGACCCAACCACTATCTTTCCCATTTTCATCAGCGTCACTTAAGTACTGCTTTACTATTATTATTTAAGTGGTAGGAAGTCATCTAGCTGTCAGAAAACAAAAAAGACCTTCAATGGAGTGCCATCCCCTAAAAAATAAAGCTCAAAATCCCATATTTGAATAATAATATTAAAAGCTAATATTTGCTCAGTCCTTATCATGGTCCATGCACTATTCTAAGTGCCCTTCTGTATTAACTCGTTAACATCTCACAACAGAGCAAAAGACAATGACCATTAGTATCCCTATTTGGAAACTGAGGCTCCGTCATATAAGGGCACACTACTTGAGGACAGTGGGGAGATGACACCAGCTCAGGTCGTCTGACTCCTGAAACCATGGTCTTCTCAGTATGCTTACCTCCTAATACCCATTCTTCTGTCTCTTGATAAGTATCTGGAATATTCAGACGTTCTTTCTTCTCCACTAGCCCCTGTGCCTCAGGAGAGGATGGATGCTGTCATCCTAGATCCCAGGAAAGGCTTCTTGCTCTAGGTGCACGCTTACTCTCTGGCCAGTGATTGGCTTAGATCTGAAGTTTCTGAACAAATCAGTACACAGCATACCTCAGGCCACAGGGGTTGGTTCAGAAATGGACAGGTAACTTCATGCAGGCTAATGAGACGTATGGGGAAATTTGTTGAGAGTTTCGAGAAAAGAGGTTTCACCAATCTTGAGAGAGAGCTTCAGGGAGAGCCAGCTTCTCTTCACTCAAAGATCACCACATATGTATGTGAAACTTGAAACTGTAACAACGATCTTATTCATAACTGGGATAAGACTAGAACAAAATGGCAGAGCTCATAGAGTCACAGACCAATGCAGCCAGAGCTCTAGTGGAGTCATAATTACTCATCACTGTGTAGGATAGTCCTAGATTTTTTCCATGGTATAACCAATATATCATCTTTGTTTTTCAAGCCAGTTTCAATTGAGTTTTCTTTCAACTGAAAGTAGCCTAACTGATATAATTATTTGTAGTCTTTCAAGATCTGGCTTCAGCATATCTTTAGAATCCTTAATATCACTTGTTTGGGACCAAATAAGTCACCTAGAGTTTCCCAAACACACCACACCATTTGTGCATTTGCAAGTGTGGTTCTTTCTGCTTCAATTGCCCTTTGCTCTCCTCTCCCTGGAGAACTCATGCTGCATTGCAATCATGGTTTACATGACTGTCTCTACCACTGACTTGGCTGTATTGTTTTTTGTCTCTATGTTCTCTGTGCTTAGCATACACTTGATACATAGTAAGCACTTTAGTAAGTGTTTGTAGAATTAATAAAAATGATGGGTAGCTTGGAAATCTGAATCACAATATGTTCCTTTTATGCAAGATAATTATCTGGATCAACGCTGTCTAATAAAACTCTCTGTGATACTAGAAATGTGCTCTACCTGCTCTGTCCAATAAAGTAGCCATTAGCCACATGTGACTATTGAGTACTTGAAATGTGGCTAGTGTGACTGAGGAACTGAATTTTAAATTTCGTTACTAAAATTAATTTGATTTTGAATATCTACATGTGACTAATGGCTACTATATTGAACGGCACAGACCTAGAAACCAAATGAAAAAAAATCCAAAGATGGGAATGTGTCATCTAAATGATTCTCGATACCAGACTAAATGGAAACATTTGGAGACAGTCTTATTTTGATTCTAACCATTTTTTATCCGTAAGCAAAAAATTTAATATAATCTAGAGGTTTCTTTTACCATTCAAAAGTAGCCCATTCACATAATTTAAAAATATAATCTCAGTTTGTCTTTATTTTGAATATGAGCAAAATGTACTAGCCTACACAATTTGTGTTATGGGAGCTTTTCAGTCTCAGGACCCCAGAAATGAAATAAAGTAGATCATCTTTTCCATGAAAAATCTTTTTACGGGTATCAAATTCCATAGAGTGCCAGGAAAGTAGGTATTTGCATAACCAAAGGCTTATTTTTAATAGTCAGGTGATAGAATCTGTCCTTGTCATCCTCAAAATGGCCATGTAGACGTGATTACCACAGATGAGTTTTTCAGCTATATAATACACAACAGATTTCTTTCCTTCCACAATTCTTTTAGGGAAAAATTTACGGAGGAAAAAAAATCTGTACAAATAAACTCTAATTATCATAACAGTAAAAAACGGATGCCCTAGGGGATAGTGGGTAAAGCCAGACCTTGTGATATCAGACCTGGATTTGAATCCAGAAAGGCTTGAGAGAGAGAGCAAGAGAGAGGAATAGATGGATGGATAGATAGAGAGCTAGACAGACAGACAGGCATTTCTGGGTGAGTAAGGTATCATTGCCCCATTTTACAGATAAGGAAACTAAGGCTCCATAAAGTATGTATCCTGCCCACGGTCACACAGCTAACAATTGGTATTGCTGAGATTCAGTCCTAGGCCAGTCTGCCTCTGAAGCCCATGCTCTTAAGCATCATCTGATAATAACAGTTCCCAGCTGATGTTGATGGTGCTGGTCAGGAGACCACACTTTGAGGAGCACTGTTTCTAAAAGTCAACAGCTGACAGTAAATAACCCAATAGTGGAAGCAGGAGTAGGGATTTGCAAGGCAGTTTCATAGATAAGTTATATATAGTACTACAAAGATTTCCAGAACAAAAGTAATGTTGCTGTGTTATCAAGTACAGAGCATCGAAAAGAAGAGTAGGTAAAGATTGTGCTGACCACAAATGGTCTCCCACATATTAATCTAGAAATCCATAAGCTGGCTACAAAGCTAAAGAGGCTTGTCTGCTCTGTGATGAAAACAAAGACCATCAGGGAAATATAACTGAGCACAGCTGTCTGAAGAGAGATCTGAGAGTTTCTTCTAGATTCCGGTTTTCTGCCTCATCAGGCTTTTTGTCTCAGTCTTAAGAACCATTAGTTTCGATGCAGGCAGTGTAGGATGCGAGCAAGCGTGCTGGCACTGGAGCCAGACTGTGGGGGTTAAAGTCTGACTCTCTCATTTGGGTGACCTTTGGTAAATTAACACTTCAGGTCTCAGTTTTCCCATTCATAAAATGAGGCCATTAATAGTTCTTACTTCACAGGGTTGTGGCAAAAATAAATGAAGTAAGGTGTGAAAAACCCTTTCAATAGTATCTGCCATGTACTAAGTATCCAGGAACAGTCAGTATTATTATCTGTCCCACTGCTGAGTTGGGCCATGAGATATAGGAGAGACTTCTGACTGTCTTGATGATGGTTTGTATCAAAATCTCATCCTGGTGCCTGAAGATAAATGGGATCGTCAGAGTTACTGGGCATCTGTAATATGTTGTGCTATCAGATATACGTCTCCATTAGATGCGAGCATTCCTGCACACTAGAAAGGAGACTTTGTAAAAACAAACAAACAAACAAACTTTATTTAAATTTTCCTCTTGCCAACTCTCAGTGACCCTGTACATTGCAAAGGGGACTATGAACCAGACACACTTTTTTTTTCATTTGATGCCTCTGGCAGTCCTGGTAGATAGTTGCTGTTGTTTCTCTTCTAAACATTGCAAACTGGAGCTTGAGTGGTAAAGCGACAACAAATTCATGTCGGAATTTGAGCCCAGATATGTTTGAGAGCAAAGCCTATACTAGCTTCAAATTTACAAATTGAAACAAGAGAGGATATGCATATATTTTCTTGGAGAAGTGAGAGGGTTTGATACTCAAATGCTCATTCACACATATAATGTTTCATTTTTCAATGTTTTCCCCTTAGAAGAACTTAAGAGATAACAGAAATAAAATGGCATAATAACAATATCATTATCATAGATAAAATATATAAACAGCTAAACCTTGTAGAGTTTAGACAACTGAAAGTATTACTGCATGGCTACTCAGTAATCATCCTCTCTGTGTATCATAATATAATATAATATATGATAGAACATCCAAAAATTTGGGGGAGACTACCTTAAATTTAGAAGAAAATTAGGGAAGAGTTCCAATGAACTTATGATAGATTTCAAGCCTGGACCATCCACTCTGGGAATTTCCACATTTTGATTCTTACTCGGTAATTTCCGGAACATAGATTTTCTTCTCGCCTGCCCTGGACAGAGCCCAAGCATCTTTCCCCTCTGAGGGGAACACATCACAGACTTCCATGAACAATTGGTTGCTATCTTGCTTTGTCCCCTATCTTCTATCTGCCCAGATACGCTGCCCCCATCCCCACCCCCTGACCTCCGCACCCCCTGCTGTTTGGGGTTATAAGAGAACATTCCATGTATCATCTTGCCCTCAGGCTCTTCCCATAAGGCATACCTTACTATTTATGATCTGGGAAACCCTCTGCTGCAGTGTGTGGCCAGCCTTGGGCCTCACAAGGATGTAAATGACTTTCAGGTCGGGGCTGGTGCGACACAGCTTCTCTATCAACACTTTGCCTAGGAAGCCTGTGGCCCCAGTAATGAGAATGGACTTGCCACCATAGAAAGCTGCGATCATGGACATGGTTCTTCCCTTTGTCCTTTAGAGCTCCAGACAGAGGTGCCTGAAAAGGAAGAGAAATAACAAGAGATTACATTCTCAGAAGTTCTAAATGCTGTCATTTAAAATGTTCCTGGTGCTTCCAGGAGTTCAGAATGCAGAAAAAGGCCAGACAGAGCGATCGCATTGTGGTTTGTTGGCTAAATGATTCATTTCAACCAATATGTGTGGAGCTCACTCTACATGCCAGACTTTATGCCAGGAACCATGGGCAAGAAATGAGTAAGACATGGTTCCTGCTCTCAAAGAATTGCTTGTTGTCTAATGGAGGAGACAGACACATAAAGAGATCATTAAATATAATATAGTAAGTGCTAAAACAAAGGGACCGCAGAGGAAGGGCGCCTAGCAGGATCTGGAAATTTCAGGAAGTCCCCTACAGGGCGTGACACGTGAAGTGAAACTTGAAGGCAGAGAAGGACTGGGAGAAGGGTGTTCCAGTCCAAAGAAAGTGCATACTTCCATATGGTGGAAATAAAAGGAATTCAGTGTGACGAGGATGTAAACGATAAGGCTAGGAGTGGCCCCACGATCTATGAAACCAGAGCTTAGAACAGCTATTCGATTTTTAAAAATTATAACGTAAATTAGTATTTCCATTGCAGTTTTATTTAAAGAAAACCCTGGAGCAAATAGCTTTTGGTTTCTCTTGAACAGACTGGCCCTGGCCTACCCAGCCATCTCTAAATAAATATGTTTTTCTCTTCCTTGAGCTGAAAACAGGTTGAGTGCCATCCTTTCCTTCATATGCTGCTCGTTGGGTTGAAACGTTGCAAAAGATAAAGGGCAGAGAAGGTTGAACGAGGGAGGCGATGAATCATAGGCTTTGTTAAATCTCAAAATAGCACGGGTCCAATCTAGAGCTCAGTTAGTCCATTCAAGGCCCTGTTTCCAGGAGCGCAGGGAAACAGTTAGCAAATCTGGTAGTGGGGAGCCAGATGCAAGACTTCAATGCTGTGACTCCGGACATAAAGCACCACCTGCTGTAGAAATGCCACAGGAAGCATTTTGTCTTTAAGCCCAGGTTAAAGTGTGCTGACTGGAAGCAGTGGCAGAGGGCTTTGACGGAAACAGAGCTGGCAGTGTGGGAGCAGTCTCTCCTCTCTGCCGGTCCGTCCACTGACTTTGCCAACTGCAGCAAGTCCTCAGCTGTCTGCTTGGGCAGGATTTGGGTGGATCCTGCAGAACTCAACTCCAGCGACTGGCCCTGACATCAGGGCTTATAAAAAAGAAGATAGAAACAAGTAAAAGAGTCAACACCCTGTCTGTTCAACTCCAGTCAAGATCCCTCAGCCTGGAACTCCTTAAGGAACAATGACTTTCCCAGTCATCATTTATAAATGTATAAATTATAAATTTGGGTCATCATTTCTACTTTGAGGATCTTGAGGCTGTGTTCTTGGGTAGAACTCTTTGCCTTTGAAGCATTCATTGATTCATGAATTTACTCAATAAATAATTTTGAACATTTGCCATGCCAGACTCTATGCTAAGTTTTTTTTTTTTTTCTTGGTGAGGAAGATGGGCCCTGAGCTAAGATCCGTTGCCAATCTTCCTCCTTTTGCTTGAGGAAGATTGTCCCTGAGCTAACATTTGTGCAAATCTTCCTCTACTTTAAATGTGGGATGCTGCCACAGCATGGCTGGATGAGCATGGTGTAGGTTGGGGCTGGGATCCAAACCTGCAAACCCCAGGCTGCTGAAGCAGACATTGAACTTAACCACTATACCACCAGGCCAGCCCCTCTATGCTAAGTTTTGAAGATAAGCAGATGAATTAGGCAAACAGATTCTTGCTGTCACTCTAGCAGAGGAGACCAGTGATACAAAGATAAGTAAATACATAAACAAGATAATTGCAGACAGTTACGAAGGTAAATAAGACAGGGATCAATGGTAGAAATCACACCCAATCGTCAATGCTATTCACTTTAGGAAATCTGGATTTCAAATCCTATTAGCTATATTCATTGAGTTACTATTTAAATCCCTTTTATTGAGGGTTAATGTGAGAAATATTATTTTGAAGAACACATTTGGACCTTGTGCTGAACAGCAATTAATCATAATTTTTGTCACGTTACATAATGTTACTCATATTACAATCTATTCAATGATTTTCTCAAGAATTTAGCACTCGGAAAAAGTACTGTATATCTTGCCTTGCCTGCCTTGGAGCTCAGAAAAGCGGTGTCACCAAGTTTCGAAGGCAGCATAGACCTTGGCTTAGCACAGAGATTCTAACAAGACCGTGAAATCAAATCCTGGTTCTACCACTTAGTAGCTGTGTGACCTCAGGCAAATTATCACTTTCTCTATGCTGCAGTTTGCTCATCAGTAAAATGGGGATAACAAAAGTATCTACTTAACAATGCTGGGGTGAGAATTATATGAGTGAATACACATAAAACTCTTAGAGATATACATTACCTATAGTGTATACTCCATAAATATCGGCTATTAGTACAGTCACTGGTTCTATGTTTTTCCTCTTAATGGTTTCTGGCTTTTCCTTTTAACATTTATTTCAGATGTTCTGTCTTATGCATTTTATATACCCTCTTTTGGAAATAGGAGGAGATACTTTATAACTCAATCATCAAGCTGAGTAAAGTGTTTCCATCAACTGTAACACTACTTGATGAGAAATCGTGTCCATTCCTTTATATATAAAGATGTTTAGGCACCATACTCCTTTAAGATAATATTAGCATAAGTGAACATAGTTTTTCACAGGAAAACATGGGAGGGAAACTGAGTTTGGATAGGGTAACTTCCTAACCTCGTTTATTCTGAAGATGTCAGATGCTTGTTTTGTATTATCATGCTTTGTGGAGTCATATTTTCTAGAAATGCAAATGTACAGTTAAGATATTTTCGGGCCAGACACAGTTTTGCAACACGTGGTGAAAACTTTGAGAGAGAAGTTAACACGTCTCTAAGCAGCCTATTGCTTGTGGGACAAAGGAAGGCTTGATGTGTCCCCAAAGAATGGAATTTGCCTTCTCTGTCCAGAGTCCAAATACTTCTCAAACACAACAAAACCCACAGCAGGGTTCACCAAGTGCTCTGGCAGGAAAAACAAAACATAAACCGGTATCTCCTGGCGCTCCTCACCCAACCGTCAAAAGCAGGTGGCAGAGGACTTGTGGCCACGACTCTAAGGCAGGCAAGTGATTCTGCAAAACGTCAAAGAGAATTCTCATCCTCTGATCAAAGCTGCATCAAGGTGTTTCTTCTACCTCTTGCTCCTGCTCTCAAGATATGGCTTGGTTCCTGGCCCCAGAAACTCCCATACAAACTTCGGCTCCCTGAAACCCAATTTCATATGGTACAGCTTTGCAAGGTCCAGGAATTGTTAACCCTTAATGCAACTCATTAAAATAATTAACTTAATTATTTTAAAAATGAAAATAATTTTACACTCAGTAACGGAGGCTATGCAAATCTAGAAGGAGGAAAATGTTTGGAATAGCTGCCCAGGGCATGGCTTGCCTTTCGTGTCTTTTCGAATGACTAATGCAGACAGCAAAGGACAATTTCCTGTCCCTCATGCTCATGACTCGGTTTGTGAGAAGCCTAAGTCACTTTGACAATCTGTGAATCATCCTGTATGATGCAGGCTATCTGATGCTTGAACGAAAAAAAGAAGAGAATTGACAAATATATTTTTACTGAATGTCCGCTGTATGCCGGTCCACCAGGCCCTGGAAACAGTAGTGCACAGGCCTTATGAAATTCTTCCTTTCTATTCCGGAGCATTTTTCCTCCTTAAGATCATCAGTTTTCTATGGTCATGAGTGGAAATAGATAGTTTTTACTCTTTTTTTTTGGTAGTAAAATGAAGCTGTTCTCATTTCTAGAGAATAGGTGTTAAAATATTAAATCATAATAGTTGTGCCAAGTTATACATGTTTTGCAGTATATGGGAACTTTAATTATGCTTGGGGTGGTTCTTCTGGAAAATAAAACGTTAAGATTCAAACAATTAAGGGAGACAAGTCTATCCAAATTTCTTGGTAGTCCTTTAGAGAAAAATATTTTTAAAAATGAAACCTGGGGCTTTGCCTCTCAGAAATCTTACTCTTGCCCAGGGTTCTTGGTCTTGGCATTATTAACACCTTGGGACGGAGAAATCTTTGTTGTGGGGGCTGTGCAGTGCAATGTGGGGTGTTAGCAGCATCGCTGGCCTCTACTCACTGGATGGTAGTAACATCCCTCTTTCCCTCAGCCAGGTGTGACAACCCAGAATGTCTCTAGACTTTGCTAAATGTGCTCTGGGGGGAAAATTGCTCTCCCTTCAAAGAAGCATTGTTCTAGCACCTTCTTTAATTCACATTTTGTATTATTCAGCGCATCTTACTAAAAAGTCAAGATTCAAGCCTTAAATTTCTGCTTGCGAAGCTAAGTACAAATATGATCCACTGCCATGCCCTATTTTAGCTATATTGATTTGTTCAGTTCATAACTAACTACATTTACCCAAGCAAATTACACATGTGGCGAATCCTGACCATGTTCAAAGTGGAGATAAAGGAAGAGTTCTCCAGAGAAAGATTTCCTACTTTTATTTAGCCAAATTCTTTTCAGTCTCTGTGCTTTAAATTAGACTGTGAATCTCACCTTCCACAAAGCTTGAGCCTCTCAGTTTCATCCATCTAAACCTATCCTGGGCTAACTTAAGAATGGCAGTCCGACAAGCCTGAGATCAGCGGAGAAAAAACCATTTAGCATTGGTTGCTGAATATTCAATTCTCTGGATAATCAAGTTAATCTCATCTCTGGGTAATTCTCTTGCCTTTTTTTAAAGATTCGCAGTGTGCTGTGTGTTGAGGGATATCTCATGGACACAGATGGAGTTTTGGTTGGCAACGGGCACAGTAAATATGGGCTGGTTTATTGAAAAAAAAATCAAAGCTATTTTGTAAAATTGAGTAAAAGAAAGTTGTTCTACTTCATCAAAATTAAACACTGCAATTCTTTCAAAAATATGTCGAATTAAGGA